CTTATACCCAGTTATAGCCCCCTGTCATGGTTTTGTTGTTTCACTGATGCCAGGTTGTAGCCCTGTGTCGTGGTTTTGTCGACTCACTGATACCAGGTTGTAGCCCCCTGTCATGGTTTTGTCGTCTCACTGATGCCAGGTTGTAGCCCAGTGTCGTGGTTTTGTCGACTCACTGATACCAGGTTGTAGCCCCCTGTCATGGTTTTGTCGTCTCACTTATACCAGGTTATAGCCCAGTGTCATGGTTTTGTCGTCTCACTGATGCCAGGTTGTAGCCCAGTGTCGTAGTTTTGTCGTCTCACTTATACCAGGTTGTAGCCCCCTGTCATGGTTTTGTCGTCTCACTGATACCAGGTTATAGCCCCCTGTCATGGTTTTGTCGTCTCACTGATACCAGGTTATAGCCCCCTGTCATGGTTTTGTCGTCTCACTGATGCCAGGTTGTAGCCCAGTGTCGTAGTTTTGTCGACTCACTGATACCAGGTTGTAATCCAGTATTATGGTTTTCTGTATTTGTCTTGGATGTCTCACGTGCATAAAACAGCTCAAGTTCTGTAGAGAACATTATCGTCTACAAGCGAAGTGTCGTCACGTTTTCTCTCCATCTATTTCAAATTAATCACGTTATTTCAGCTCTGCTGGAATCAATGGCACTATACTCCGGCTTTGTTAGAATCAATGACGTTATACTCTGGCTTTGTTGGAATCAATGACGTTATACTCCGGCTTTGTTGGAATCAATGGTGTAATTCCAGCTTTATGGGAATTACACCAGCAGCTTCTGTCGACTTATTCCGGCGGTATTTTGCGAAAGTAATCATATTATAAAGTTCTTTAACGCAAGACTTTATATTGTACCGGTAGTGCTTTTTTCCACAGGGTGAAAAATGTAATGAAAGTCCGGAATATTGCCATGTAGTAACTCCTTTTCTTTAAATGTAGTATCTCCTTGCCTGACGTTATCAATGCCATGCGCTGCACTTACCGTACCGACTCCGTATCCCTGTCTAGACTGATGGTCATGGGGGTGCATCCTGGAGCTGCAAGAAATGAACTTTTCACTAAGGGGACAAGAAGTTTCATTAACCAACACAGAACAGGTGTCATCAGTCGTTTTACAATTGTAAAATTCTCCTTCTCTTCCTTTTGAGGAGGAGATTGGAGCACCTATGGATCTGTCCGGATTGCGGTGATGATAATCCGTTATAATCACTAATCTCCTTGATATTTGTAATGATATGAATGTGTGTACTTGAATGGTTGTAGACCACGAGGAAGACCAAGAAGACGATGGAGAGATAATATCCAGACAGACACTTGGTGTCACCAACTGGAAAGAGAAGGCCAACCAGAGAGATGAATGGAGGCGGGTAATATCTGCAGCAACTAACCTCAAGGGCTCGGGATGCTGAAGAAGAAGAAGAAAAAAAATAGAAGAAGAATTAATGAATGTGTGTACAGATAGACTCGTGTTTTATTTTTCTATGCTGTGGTTTGGTTGAATGAGTGTCTGACCCTGTTCTGTTCCATTGTTCTGTTATGTTTTATTTCTTCTATCCACATTGCCAATTTAACTCTGTCAGTCAACACCGAAGGTTGGCTGCAATGGATCTCCAGCATGCTGTACCTCTTGTCTTGGTTGTACACTCTCTAAGACTGCTGTTCCTCCATCTCTTGATGTTGTTCTCCCACTTGTAACGTTGTCTACTTCTTGCTCTCTTGCCCTCAACTTGTCCCTCCTGTATGGTTTTCAAAAGCGTGTTTTTGTCTTTTAATGTGGCTAGAGTATTTAAGTTGTCGCTTTTTTCGTTTAGTAACTCTTTTTTTATTATTATTCGTAGTATTTCTAGAACCTCTGTACTGGACTGGTTTTGTTCCTGTCAAATACGATATATTCTTCTGTATATTCACATTTCCAGAGACTAAATTTTATTTCCTAGTTCCTTGTTCATTGTCATATTTTGCCTGGAGAAAATGAGGCACCTAAATGTAACCAGAGGGTCTAGTCGGCTCACTACACTTAGAGAAAAGGCAAGACGAAAGATAACCAGATTGTGACCGGTACCATCAGTATTGGAACTCTGCGCTGGCTGCTGAAGATGAGGACGAAGTACGCATGGGAATGCCCCTAGTGCTGTGATGTCAATTCTTGACTCAACTCAACTGCCCTATGTTCTTCCCATACAGCAGGGCTGGGAATACAAACGATTGCTCCACTCCGCTCTGTTGCATGCAACCTTCTTGATTGCTCACATGGAGTTCAGCCCAGCATTTTTCCTTCCTCGTAAAAATTTTACTTTTGATGTTTATTACCCGACGTCCTCTTGTTCTAAAACCGGTTGTTTCCCATTTCAGAGCTTGTTTTGTAATTCTTTTGCCCATTTCGTCTAAGAGTGTGCCCAATTTATCGCCACCTTCTTTGTCTAATTGCAGTCGATACAGCTGTTTGTCCAGACAGTTCTGTGATCTCAAAACTTTTTTTTTTCAAATGATCCCATTTTATGTTTATGATTTCACTCAGGCATTTATTTTCAGACGCATTTAACTTTCGTTCCATATCTTTGGTGCTTCTCCAAATTTCGCAGGCATATGTTAGAATTAAAATAACGTTACAATTTAAGATTCGTAGTTTGTTTCTGAGGCTGTGTGACGTGAAGCTGCATATTTTGGAAATGCTTTTAAAGACTTTTGTTGCTTTGCCAATGCGTATCAAAATTTTCTTCAGTGTATCTTCTTGAGAGTCAAACATTGCTATCCAAATACGTGAAATGATCGGTTACTTTTATTACTTTCTTCTCTAACACGACCATCTACATAATCTGTTGTTGGTATCGGTAATACTTTAGTTTTTTCATAGCTTATTTGAAGTCTTATTTTTTGTATACTGTAGACGACACGAAATTTAGATCTTCGTCTTTTTTCATTTGCATCATTACCTAATCCCAATCTGCACAAAGAGACATCTTATTTTTTTTTTTTTGGTCACTCACAACAAACCATAGCATAACAATGTTGTCTGCGAAATTTAGATCTTCCGGATTTCCTTTCTCTATCCAGTCAATGGCAGTATTGCCTTTATAACATGTATTCATTACCTAAATCAGTGGTTACTCCAAACAACAAGGGAGATAGAATGTTGCCCTGTTTTGCTACAGTCTCCACACACAAAAACAGTCACTTAGACCATTTTCAGTGTGCACTGTTTATTCTGAACCATCGTATAAATGTCTAATAATGCGTATTTTTTTTTGGCTGGTATGCAGTAACATTCCAATATTCCCCATGGTGGAATATATAAGACTTAACGATTTTGATTTCTAACCTGTTGTTTACCTCTCTGTCTTTCAATAATTTGCGCATCTTATTGAAGACAGTTTTAGCCATTCGTATTCTTTTCTTGTTTGATTTTTACTGTACTTCTGCCATCGTACGTTCTACGTACCAAAACGTGGACATCTCTTTCTACGTTTTTAAATAGGGTTGTCAGAATGCACCCTTTCGACAGAATTTAGGATGCCTTTATCATTATACCCAACCCTAGTCGTTTAGCTATAGAATTTAGTTACAACTGGGAAGATTGGTGGTAAAAGAGCAAGAAGAAGGCACAGAGAATGTTAACTGGATGAATTAGCCGTTCGGACGGGACGAGACAGGAACAATGACCTGTGGTTTGTGATTCTGTTGATCGCATGACGTGGCTAAACATGACAACCTATGGCACGGCACATGATGATGATGATGCGCATTATTGAATTATTTCAACTTGTTAACACATAAAAGTGGTTGCAAATACTTCTTCTTTGTAGCGTTCACCAGCTGTAAACGCTAGCGGAAAGTTTTGGTTGTTCATCCACTTATTGAGGTGGTCTTTGACTTTAGTCTTTTCCTAGCCCTTTAGTTTGCAAATGCTTCCATTGCACAGACCTGGCTTATTTATGTGCAGATTGTTGGTTCTTTGCCTCTCGGGAATATAATTATGATGATGATGTCTAGCTCCCTTCTCCATGTGTTGTTGTTTTGTTTTGTTTTTTTGTTCCTGTGCCCCTGTGCGTTGCACTGCAAAGACATTCTAGTTGTATTGTTCTCATGTATTCTCAACGTGTGTCCTGTCTAACGCCAGCGTCTTTTCTGCACAAGTTGATCCACTGAAACTTGTTACCTGTACTTTACTTAAAAATAGGGCCAGCTGTAAAGGCGACTCCAGCATGATGTTACCCACGGTCATGTGTAGTTATATACCAGTAGCTGAAAAAAAGTACAAAGTTAAGGACCCTTTTCCGCGCCCTAAGACGTATTAGGCATATAGGGCTATACCTATCTATATTTTACAGACCAATCGGTACTCAGTGGGTGATGTGATCAACTCCACGCCGTTCACCTGTATTTCCCAGGACTGTACCCGGTAACCATTGAAGGCTGGGTCGACCTGAGAGCCAAGGACATTTTTGGAGAGAAAAAAGTCCGGTTCCGGGAAGACCTCAAGCTACGACCTTCCGATCCGCAGGTGTGCATCTAGCCGCTACACCACGTCGGCTTCCAGACCAGTAGTAGAAAGCCCTGAAGAATAAACAGGGGTCCTTGAGAATGATTTTATAACAACCTTATAATTAAATGTGGCTTTTCAGACGTATGATAAGAATCCCTTGGACTGCCAGAGTAACTAACGAGGATTGCTTGTAGAAAGCTAATGAAAGCAGATCAATATTTACAACTATAAGGAAAACACAAGTATTGTTCTTTTAATTGGAGGCTGTGGGAAATGTTGTAACGACTTAGAAGATCAGCGGTCCGCAGACCGAGGAAGAAGGTAACGGATCTACCGCGACGGTGGCACGGAGGGATGTCATCGGTGGAACTGATCCAGATAACAAGGGACAGAAATCTGTGGAGATGCATAAACGCCTACGCAAGTCGACAGGGCACGTGATTATGATTATTATTAAACAACCTAATATGTTATCATCTTATATAACAGATGCATTACTTCTTTTCTGTTGCAGCCGAAACTGCAGAAAACCCCACATGGATTTCGCAGATGTGGGTAGCACAGTCCGCGATGCCACCTGTGTTTGTGACGAAGGCTTCCATTTCCCCAATGAAGACCAAAGAGCTTGTGTTCCTAACAAACGCTGTCCTCTCGGCACTGCTCCAGGAGTATATGGTAAAGTAGACCTAAACAGACTGTATACTCATCTGTCTTGGCAATCTTCACTTATCCTCAGCCACTCGTTTTTGTCTGTCTTGGCAATCTCTACTTATCCTCAACCAATCTTCTGTGTCTGTCTTGGCTATACTTCTCCTCAACCACTCTTAGGATTCTTTTGGCAGTCTATAATTCTCCTCAACACTCTTCTGTGTCTATATTGGCAATCTATACTTTTCCTCAACCACTCTTCTGTGTCTATCTTGGCAATCTATATTTTTCATCAACCACTCTTCTATATCTGTCTTGGCAATCTATACTTTTCCTCAACCACTCTTCTGTGTCTATATTGGCAATTTATACTTTTCATCAACCACTCTTCTGTGTCTATCTTGGCAATTTATACTTTTCCTCAACCACTCTTCTGTGTCTATCTTGGCAATCTATACTTTTCATCAACCACTCTTCTGTGTCTATATTGGCAATCTATACTTTTCCTCAACCACTCTTCTGTGTCTATATTAGCAATCTATACTTTTCCTCAACCACTCTTCTGTGTCTATCTTGGCAATCTATACTTTTCATCAACCACTCTTCTGTGTCTATCTTGGCAATCTATACTTTTCATCAACCACGCTTCTGTGTCTATCTTGGCAATCTATACTTTTCATCAACCACTCTTCTGTGTCTATCTTGTCTATACTTTTCATCAACCACTCTATTTCCCCAACCACTCTTCTTGTCTATCTTGGCAATCTATACTTTTCATCAACCACTCTTCTGTGTCTATCTTGGCAATTTATACTTTTCCTCAACCACTCTTCTGTGTCTATCTGGCAATCTATACTTGTCCTCAACCATCTTCTGTGTCTATCTTGGCAATCTATATTTTTCATCAATCTCTTCTATATCTGTCTTGGCAATCTATACTTTTCCTCAACCACTCTTCTGTGTCTATATATAATTTTGGCAACCATCTATATCTATTCATCAACCACTCTTCTGTGTCTATATTGGCAATCTATACTTTTCCTCAACCACTCTTCTGTGTCTATATTAGCAATCTATACTTTTCCTCAACCACTCTTCTGTGTCTATCTTGGCAATCTATACTTTTCATCAACCACTCTTCTGTGTCTATCTTGGCAATCTATACTTTTCATCAACCACGCTTCTGTGTCTATCTTGGCAATCTATACTTTTCATCAACCACTCTTCTGTGTCTATCTTGGCAATCTATACTTTTCATCAACCACTCTTCTGTGTCTATCTTGGCAATCTATACTTTTCCTCAACCACTCTTCTGTGTCTATCTTGGCAATCTATACTTTTCATCAACCACTCTTCTGTGTCTATCTTGGCAATTTATACTTTTCCTCAACCACTCTTCTGTGTCTATCTTGGCAATCTATACTTTTCATCAACCACTCTTCTGTGTCTATATTGGCAATCTATACTTTTCCTCAACCACTCTTCTGTGTCTATATTAGCAGTCTATACTTTTCCTCAACCACTCTTCTGTGTCTATGTTGGCAGTCTATACTTTTCCTCAACCACTCTTCTGTGTCTATCTTTGCAGTCTATACTTTTTCCCAACCGCTCTTCTGTGTCTATATTGGCAGTCTATACTTTTCCTCAACCACTCTTCTGTGTCTATATTAGCAGTCTATACTTTTCCTCAACCACTCTTCTGTGTCTATATTGGCAGTCTATACTTTTCCTCAACCACTCTTCTGTGTCTATCTTGGCAGTCTATACTTTTTCCCAACCGCTCTTCTGTGTCTATATTGGCAATCTAAACTTTTCCTCAACCACTCTTCTGTGTCAATATTGGCAATCTATACTTTTCCTCAGCTACTCTTCTGTGTCTATCTTGGCAATCTATACTTTTCATCAACCACTCTTCTGTGTCTATCTTGGCAATTTATACTTTTCCTCAACCACTCTTCTGTGTCTATCTTGGCAATCTATACTTTTCATCAACCACTCTTCTGTGTCTATATTGGCAATTTATACTTTTCCTCAACCACTCTTCTGTGTCTATATTAGCAGTCTATACTTTTCCTCAACCACTCTTCTGTGTCTATATTGGCAGTCTATACTTTTCCTCAACCACTCTTCTGTGTCTATCTTTGCAGTCTATACTTTTTCCCAACCGCTCTTCTGTGTCTATATTGGCAGTCTATACTTTTCCTCAACCACTCTTCTGTGTCTATATTAGCAGTCTATACTTTTCCTCAACCACTCTTCTGTGTCTATATTGGCAGTCTATACTTTTCCTCAACCACTCTTCTGTGTCTATCTTGGCAGTCTATACTTTTTCCCAACCGCTCTTCTGTGTCTATATTGGCAATCTAAACTTTTCCTCAACCACTCTTCTGTGTCAATATTGGCAATCTATACTTTTCCTCAGCTACTCTTCTGTGTCTATATTGGCAATCTATACTTCCCCTCAACCACTCTTAGGTCTGTTTTGGCAGTCTATAATTCTTCTCAATCCCTCTTCTGCACGTCTTGGAAATCTATATTTATCCTCAGCCACTCCTCTGTTTGTCTAAGTAATCTATACTTATTCTTGATTACCTGTTGTTGTCTGTCTTGGTAATCTATTCTTATCCTCAGCTGCTCTGTGTATGTTTTGGCAGTCTGTACTTATCCTCAACCACTTTTCTGACCCTGTTGTCAATCTCCATTCACTCCTAGTGGTTTCTGTAACATGCTGCTGCTGTTATTTCCTCTTTTTCTAATTCTTCTTTACATCCTTTTTTTCTCCTTCTTCCTCTTATCCTATTCTCTGCTACAACATTATCATTCATTTGTTAGATTTTCTTCATAATCCACTTTCCCTAATTGTTCCGATTTCAATTTACTCTCATTATTACACCCCTTTTGGGTATATTTATTCATTAAACACTTCGACTGAGGTAAGAAAATAGAGTTCCTATGAATCATATAGAACTAGTCCTAATGTTTAGTATTGAAATCAAGGAAAACTTTTTGGAAGCTGCAGCGATGTATTATAGAGAAAAGAAATGAGAAAACTATGAAGAGATAAACAGCTTAATGACGTCTTGAGAGAAACTAACAAACAAAGATAACTGGTTACCCATATCTGACAAAGGCAAGTCTACGTGCTGTCAAGTAATGATATATCCCCTTTCTGGCATAATAATATATCCACTTTCTGGCATAATAATATATCCACTTTCTGGCATATGCTTACCTTATCTAGTCTTTAATAATCTAGAATAAATGGGAAAGAGAAGCGAAAGATAAGAGTAAGGCAAACATAAAATATACATCAGCCTTACAAAACTAATTACAATAAACAAACAAAAGACGCTGCGGCAACAAGTCTTCAGCAGCATACAAATAAAATACGACAGGAAACAAAACACAACACACACACACACAAAATGAGCTGACTCTAATATGACTTCACGCCGGTATCAAAATATGTAGACAGATAAGGCCAAGTAATAATAAAGAACAGAATGTTATCATGTACCTGATACTTATCGGGACAGAATGTTATAAACGAAAGATATGAAGCAGGTATGTATAGTCCTTTAAAGCTAAACGGGGATGCCCATAGTCGGCATGAAGGGTTAGAGAAAGGGGTTACCAATCTTGGGTGAAGAAAAGAAACATAGTTAAAGAGAAAAGATTGTGAGTGGACCCACCTATCTTCCCTGGCTTAACTGGCAAGTTATTTAAAAAATATTTCAGATCCAATACGCAAATAAGACAAGAGACCAAGCAATGTTTTCAGTAATATAAGAAAGCGCCGCTGGAACATCCTTTTTACATGTCTCATGTATTTGTTTGCAGATTGTTGCAATTCCCAAAGGGTGGAAAGTGAATGACAAATACAAAGCATAATAATAATATCATGAATGCACAACCCTCATCTCTTAAACGGTTCATGCGTAATGAAAACATTATTCTGTTCGCTAACCTAATTTTGCCCAAATGTTTACGCAGCAGTGTTTCCATGGAATTCAGTGTCTGCCAGATAGTACAGAAAAAATTGTTTGCCGGTGTCAACATATGACATGTCAATATATGATTTCGTTTTTGTTCACTGCCAATGTTAAAATGGCAGACATAACATTTGACAATTTTCTTTAGTCAGTGCTGAATACAAATTCTGATAATTTTTTTAGGAATTATTGCAGTTTCTCTGGGAATTGATTTTTTTTTTTTTTTTTTAATAATTTTTTATTATTTTGGTCTCTCATATGGTCCATACGAAAAATTGTATTTCAAGGAAAGGTGCTTTATTAATATCCTACCCCAAACAAGGGAAATCTACAGATCACAGGGCAGTCTAATATTTTAGGGTATGGTAGGTAGGCTGCATGCAGTCATGGGACATAGGCTGCACTCTCTCGTGGGACGGAGGTGGGTTGGGGTTAGGGCCAGTTCTAGATGTTTTGGGGTCGTTAAAAGCATCAGAAAGCCACGAAACGCAGTCTTACCACCCTCTAAAATGTTGGGCTGTCCTGTGACGTCATCTGGTGTAGGATAATAATAAAGCACCCAAGGAAATGTTGTGGCCGGTAAAATAAAAGTCATATTATTGACATCATCCAGTGATTGCTGATGGGTTAATACAAATTTGGTGCTAGCACCTATCCCTTGTTTTTAAAGCTATATCGAGTCGGATTTTTTTTTTTTTTTTTTTCTTAATGACCTTGGCTCCCAGATTGACCTAGCCTAAAATGTGTTCCAGTGTAAGTCCTGGGAAGTAAAGAATGCCGGCATGGTGTTAACCACATCACTAATCAAGGGCCGATATCAACTGCCGATGGGTCTATAAAAATATGACTAGCATCATGTGTCTGCCTGATGCGCTACTAGTGTGAAAAAGGTCTATACAACATTTATGGCTAAAGGAAAGAGGCAGACGGTTCTTTGGCCATGTGATGAGAGGTATTGAAGAATTTCCTGACGACTGGAAAGATCATGTTAGCAGAGGCAGCCCAGATGCTTGATTCGGTATTTAAAAAACCAAAGACCGGGATCTGTGGAAAAACATGAGCGCCTAAGCCACTTTGCCGGACACATAGTGATGATGATCCAAGGTCTTCTTCAGTATGGGCCGTGAGGCTGATGATGTCAGCTTGGAGATCTGGTTATGCTGGAAATATAATTAACAGACGCCATCTGTCTTTTAACTCTGCATGCAAAAGAAATTTAAACACACTCACATATCCTATCGTAATCATAATTTGACCTTCACTTAGGTACAGACATTTTGCAGGCATAGCCAGTAACACTTAACACTTCACAACGGCTTATTTCGAGAATGTAAATAGAAAGCAAGGTAACTGGACATATAAAAATTGAGTTCTGCTATTCACTTCACTCCAAAAAACAGCTATTATTAGCCCACATTTTCCAACTTACTTGTACTGTTACTTACCTAATATTGAGGACAGCCTTGGATGATCCTATACCCAGTGTGTATGAGTCATGGCAAAACGTCCTTTTTTCTTCCTTCTAAACTTTAGTATGTGAATACAGGGGTCAAAGGAATACAAAGTGAAGACGTAAATGGAGTGAAAGTGCTGTCAAACTGATGGCTAAATACAACATAAAGTGTTACTAGATAGTTCATCTGAGGGAATGGAGAAGACACACACAAATACTAGCAAATGTTTTTAATATATTTGTAGACCAGTCGCCACTCTGCCCAGCACCCATTTTGGAGTGGGTCGACTGGGACTGAGTCCAGTATTGCTAAGTTAGATTCCAGCCCAGGATCTTCAGGGCAGAAGGCGAACATCTGGCCGCTGCGACACCATGACCCCCACACTGAGAATAGTGATCACATATCAACTTTTATTTGTGCACAGCCATCATGGGGAGCCGTCGTGGTCTAGTGGCTAGATGCTCACCTGCGGATCGGAAGGTTGTGGGTTTGGGTCCTGACGGGTGCTGGACTTTTTTCAAAAATGACTTTGGCTCCCAGGTCGACCCAGCCTTGAGTGGGTACCAGGAACAGTCCTGGGAAGTAAAGGTGGCTGGCGGGATGCTGACCACATCACCCACAAAGTGCCATTTGGTCTATACAATATAGGTCTAGCTTTATATATACCCAATATGCCTGAAAGGCGTGGAAAAGTTTTTTTTTTTTACTTACAAGAAGAATAGTTGATCGCTTATGAACCTTTTTATTTTTGTACAGCCACCATGACCCCCTACACGGAGAATATTTGATCGCTTATCAACCTTTTTTTTTTTTTTTTTTATACAGCCACCACGACCCCCTACATGGAGAATAGTTGATCGCTTATAAACCTTTTTTTTTTTTTTTTTTACAGCCACCATGACCCCCTACATGGAGAATAGTTGATCACATATAAATCTTTTTATTTTTGTACAGCCACCATAACCCCCTACATGGAGAATAGTTGATCACATATAAACTTTTTTTTTTTTTTTTTTTCGTACGGCCACCATGACCCCCTACATGGAGAATAGTTGATCACATATAAACCTTTTTTTTTTTTTTTTGGTACAGCCATCATGACCTCCTACATGGAGAATAGTTGATCACATATAAACCTTTTTTTTTTTTAATCATTTTTACACAGTCCTTAAATTTAATAGCCTTATTTTGTTTTCAGGTAACTGTGAGTCCTGTTTACGAAAGTCCATGTATTTGAATGAGAAGACAAAGAAATGTGTACCTCTCACAAAGTAAGTACTCACCTCTGGCTGTAGATGTCCTTTTATATGTCCCTTGTGTATGTTCCTTCTTCTTCTTCTGTTATTCTGCTACTTCATATCATTATCTTGTTATTCTTTTTTCTTCTTTCACTTCTTCTTCATTGCTGTCTTTTAATGTTTAACATATACTTCATGCGTATCATCTTGATTTTTCTTTTTGAGACTGTTTATATTCTTTCTGTGTTTTATCTATATCTACTTCTTTTTCTTTAATCCTTCCATTAGCAAACATGTATCAGAAGACCAGTAGCTTTGATTAAAGTTGTCAAGCAGCTGAAATCTCCTTGCATACTATATGGCTTTGTCTTCATTGAGGTTTTGGAACAGGCCAGATTGTGTCTCTGTTAGCAGCATACAATTGACAGTGTTGGAGCACATGCTCAGCATTTTGTGGTGCTGCACTGCAAGGGCAGGTCTCCATGTTTCCTACACTGAAAAACTGTAATGTATGTTGGTCAAGTCTGTTGTGCTCTCCCTTATTCTGAATACTTGCTTGCTTGCTGTACCCCACCAGGACATCCCACAAGCAATCAAGACCTGGCGACACAAAGTACCACCATGCGGATGAGGATCAACCCGGAAGAGGTCCCGAGGAAGAGGTGGAGAGGTCCCGGAAACCCCATTCAGCCGTTTGTGCTATATTTAAGACCCGGCTATATTTAGGGCCCCCTGGCAAAAGCCAGGGTAGGGCTTCAAAATAGCTAAAAATTGCATCCCACCTAGGGATGATAAGATTACACTAAAAAAAATATTCTAAATATAACACATTGCCCCTCTCTAGAGATGCAGTGAAGCAAGTCTTGAGGAGTATATCCAGCCAGCTTTATTGGAAAGTAGATTGTATGTTAGAGTCTCTTGGTGGGTTAACTCTTTGAATCCAACAGGGTTTATTGTCAGAGGCCCAAGGGGTAGTAGAGAGAGAGACATAAAATTGGCATATCTTGCGTTTATTGGGCTTCAAGGTATGAACATATGATGTGCTCTTGGGACTGAAAGAGTTAGGTCACTGTTTGCAACCTTTGCTAGTTTTTAACAAGGGACAATGATGGACATTCTTTGTGGGTTATTTGGGTACAGGCACAGAGCAGCTATGGGGTGACCCATTTAGATGAAGGTGGAAATGTGGTTACCTGTTCTCATTTTGTTTCTGTTGAAACTCTGTATTTATGAGCTTCAGCTGTGAGTCTAATGAAATCATTCACACTTTGATTTTGTTGCAGCTGTGAGAAGCAGAATCGCTGCACAAGAACAAAGAGTGATGGAATGAGAGATAATGTGTGCGGACCAGTGGTCAGTGGTAAGTTCACTGTTAACTCTTTCGCCCAGTAAAAATCTAAAGTTACTTTTTTGCTTCTGCAAATTTTATTAAAAAATAACATTGCATCCTTACCATTCTCTGAAACTCTTCGCTAAAAAAACTAGACGAAGCAGACAAATTTGGAGTCTTTGGTGAGTTTTTATAAATATCCAGGAGGCTGAATCCATAGACCACTGAGAAGATGGACAAGCATTTAGTTCTTTGATGATGTCATTATCTTGTAATTTTGTTGTTCTATAGTCAATAAATGTTTAAATTGGGGAAAGCTTATTTCTGTGTCAAGAAAAGTAATCAATAAATATAAATATAGCAAAGAATTAATAGATTGTCTTCCCCTTGACCATTTAAAAGTCGTTTTGGTCAGTTTGCCAACGAATCACAACGTGACACAATAATAAACTATATAAATTTTTTGATCAATTTTTTTTTACTCCAGTATTTTTTTTTTTAATGCAAGGGGTCTTCAAATTTAAATGTTAAAAGTGTGATATAAATTACAGAAACCATGCCATTGTCTTATAACCTGTCAATATTTTCATAAGGGATGTCAAGAGTGTTAAGCGTATGACATTGTGGTGCAGATGAACAAGTCCAGTTTAGTGACTCATACCTGTCAATCTACCAGTTGGTGGTTTTCCTGTACAGGACTTTCTGTGGCTGCAATTGACTCTGGGGTCACTATTTCGTGTGACTGATTGCGTCTTGAACTGTCACTGAAGTTAACACTTGTTTGAAAGTTCCTACTCCACTCATATACTTGATGGACTTCTGCTTTTTGAATTAAGAATCGACATCACAGCACTCGGGACACTCACATAAGTGCTCAGTCCCCATCATCAGCAGCAGGCGAAGAGTTCCAATTCGGATGGTACCAGTAACCGTCTGATTGTATATCCGTCTCATCCTTTCCCTGAGTGTTGAGCATTGACCAGATCCCCTGGTGGTAACTGATTGCAGCGCCAGTCTCCTGAGACCTTAATGATCTTTCTGTGCCATCGCACTGTTCACTCGCTTCTTCTTTGTTCACTGACTATAAGCTCCAGCAGAAAGTCCTGGTTGTTCATCCATGAGGACTTTGGCTTTGTGCCAGGGCCTGAGTGTTGCATGTCCATCCGTTTTACTGGTTTATGTGAGTGTAGTTGTTTGTTCCTTGTTGCTCGGGCGGATGCACTGTGACATCAAAGGAAGTCGGCAATTAGTCGACTCCACGACATGCTTGTTAGGGAGGCAGTGGGTCTGTTCTTGTTTTGCCGCCTGAACCCATGCAGGGATCTTGCTGGACTGACAGGCAGATAAAGATCCAGAAGAACATGGATTGACAAAGCTACTGACAGCCTAGGACTTCACAGCATACCAAGCAGCTGGGCGCACCCTGGCTTGGTAACGTATCATTTGTTGAGTTGTAGTTCCTGATGGCGCAAAGGAGATACTGACAAGAGAAGCTAAGAATAAGAAGAACTTCCCAGGGGTGCATGTACAGCAGGAGTCTACCAATCATCAGTAGAAGATTCCTCGTCAACAATTGTTTCGGCCCACAATCTCCTAGACAGCTTCAGAGGGTGGGCCAACCTGGGTCATGACTTCCAAGCCGTTAACAGATTTTCTTGGACAGGGACAAGACAAAAATGGTGACTGCAACCAAAATGGTGACCATGCAACCAAAATGGTGACTATGCAACCAAAATGGTGACTATGCAACCAGAATGGTGACTATGCAACCAGAATGGTGACTATGCAACCAAAATGGTGACCATGTAACAGGTACAGTGTGATTCGAAGTTATATACATGTATAGTCGCTGCGGTAGCCTGTGAGATCAGTCGGCTTACCTTAACGACCAAGTGGCAAGCTTACGGTTGGTTCAATCGGACACATATTAGATTTTGTAATTGGCTGACAATTCAGACACGATGGACTTAAGGGATAAGACTTTCTATAAACCCTGATCAGCCTACCGAGGCCCATCCTCCACAACGTTCTGTTGCATCCAGAGCCAGCTCGAAGCTCTTTCAGCAGCTTCGCCCAGTTGAGAGTAAGTCAAAGTGATAATAAGGTACAAAAGAAATTAAATTATGCATGTCTGAGAGACGCCTAGAAAGATCAGATGAAACTCATCCCTTCCCTACAAATGTATGAAAGATACATCAGCAGGCAATGAAGAATTAACCAGTGCAACTCTCAGGAGGCAAGCCTAAATCTTGGGTCATCTGAAGAAATAGAGAAACAAAAACAGTCAAATGAAGAGGCTTTGAAGAGGCCACAGATGAAAAGAGAGTTGCTGGCAGAAATGTAAGGAAATATTTTTACTATATTAAATAACACTCTTACATTAACCATTATAAATGGGAAAGTTTAGAGCAAGTGAGCAAGATGCCAGCAGCCATACAAGTGGGAGGATAACCTCAAGAGATGAAAAAAACAGCAGTCTAAAGAGAGAGGGGCAAAGACAGAGCATTTTGGAGATTCATTACAGCCAGTTGTCATAGAAGTGTAGGCACCTGATTTACTTTTTGAAGAAAGAGCCTTAGACGTTCCACCATGCCTTACAGCAAGATTGATAGATATCCTTTATCATCATCATGTGCTGTGCCAACTGGCATAGGCGCTCAAGCTCTCTTGATGATATCCCTCCAGCCTATCCAGCATTGTTTCTCTTGGTCTGCCTCTACCCCTTTTTTCACTGATCTTTCCACTGTCTTGATGTTCTTCAGTGTCTCTCTTCTCATTATGTGGCCACAGTATTTGTCTTTTTTTTTATTGTTGTATATAGAGATCTCAAACTACTAGATGTAAATTTGCCTAGAAAAACCACACAACAGCCAGGGGCTGTTGGGGTTGGTTCTTGCAATGTCCTGTAAAGGATACGCAACTAACCTTATAGAGATCTACTTTCATTAGCTTTTTTCAAGCAATCGTTGTGAGTTACTCTGGCCATCCAAGGTATATCCTTTATATTGTACATTTATATCACTTTTTTTTTTAATTGCAGACCTCAGCACTTGTGAAGATATAAACATCACAGTCTCATCATCCTCCACAAAGTACACTATTGCCATTGTAGGAAGCATCGTTGCTGCTGTGCTGCTCCTCCTCATCATTCTCCTGATATTCATCTTCTGCCTACGAAGGCGACGTTTGCGCAACCAAGTAAGCCAAAAAGCCTTAACTGATGAGGAAATGGAAGAGCTGCAGCAGAAGATCCTCAAGGCGTGCGACAAGGATGTGGTTTCCTGCAAGAAAGGTATTGTGGTGTTTTTTATTTCTGTCTGTTTGTGTGTATTTGTGTGTGTGATGATGTCATCATTGTTTGCTGATTGCATTTTGTTGTTGATGTTGTCGCTGGTGATGTGTGCCTAAGATTGAAAGAGTTAATAAAAGTGAAGGAGAGGCATATTAAATCCATTTAATTCATACTGTTAAGGTTGTGAGGTCTTCTGCTGCTGCTCCTGCTTCTTCTTCTTCTTCTCCTTCTGCTTCTTCTTCTTCTTCTTCTTCCTCTTCTTCTACTTTTCTTCTTCTCCTTCTTCTTCTCCTTCTCCTCCTCCTCCTTCTTCTTTTTCTTCTTCTTCTTCTTCCTCCTCTTCTTCTTCTTCCTCTTTTTCTTCTTCTTCTTCTTCTTCTTTTTCTTCTTCTTCTTCTTCTGCTTCTGTCTCTTTTTCTTCTTCTTCTTATTCTTCTTCTTTCACTCTTAAAAGGACAGTTAGCATGTTGTGGTTTACATCTAGGCTATGATCTCTGCACCTTTCAGCCAAATACTTCCAATTTAAGCTAACCACTAATTAATGGCCACTTATGACATGCTTGTTAGGGCAGTGAATCTATCTTTTTCCCCAGAATGGGTCTCTGATACCTTAATGGGGATGTTATCGTTTCAGTTTTAGAGTTCGTCCATTGGTTCACCTGCGTAGTTGTTTAAAAGAATATCTGGGGAATCATCGTTAAAAGTAGAGTTTTGAGCTTCGTGTCGTACTCTTGGCAGTTGGATGGCTGTTTTGAGGAGAGAGATCAGGTTAGATAATATTAAACTCATGAAATGAAGTTTTTCTTTTTTAATTTAAACAGTTTTACGTCTGATATAAAAGCATCTGTAAAGCAACAGACAATTTTTCTCTACAAATGTATTTGTGTTATTTATCCAAAAAAAAAAAAAATTTCTGTTTCTCTGCAGGCTCATGATTTGTATTATTTTCCTACAGATAAGTGTTTGTATCTTTGTTTGCAAAAAAATCTTGTCAGACACAAAGAAGAGTTACCCTAGTTAGTAAGTTAATTGACAGATTATTCTCACTGCATATCAGAAAAGTCCATAAGTGCTCGGATCCCATCTTCAGTATATCTCTCAGCGTCTGACAACTGATGATTATAAACACAAGTTCTTTGCAGGTTTACTATTCTTCTTTGGCTACCTGTTTAGTGTTCATTTTTTGGTGACACCTCTTTTGACGTGAAGTTCTTGTAGTCTTTTGAGTTTTGCCGACTGAATCGTTTCCTAAATCATCTTCTCGTCCTACCTCCTTGAGAGCATTGAGAATATCGGCCCGGTCATTACTTTTTCTGTACCCAGCAAGCCAATCTGCTGGTTCATTCTCTCTTACCCCAGAGTGTCCTGGCAAAAAGCTGCAGTTAATTCCCTATCAGCCTAGATTCTCTCATTGACTCCAATCATTTTCTCGAATTCCATCCTTTGTTTGTCACATGCTAAAAATTCTATGTAGTGTCTCTAATTTTTCTACGGATCATCATCATTGAAAATCAAACTATTCATAGAGAAGTGTCATTTTTCTCTGTTAGTGCTATTGAAGATTGAGACAGCCACAAGACAGTACACTGCAAAGAGCAATGCCACTTAGACAAAACAGAAGCAGACCTAGAGACTGGACATGCATGCAGTGGATAGATGGAATACCTGACACCAGGAATGCCAGCATCTACATAGCATATACCAAGATTTGATCCAGATAACTCTTCAGCACCTGAAAAGCAGTATAGGGACATAGAAAGCAGAAGGAGAATATAGAGATACATTTCAAGCTTTTTAATAAATTCGTGTTTTCTTTGTTTCTAGTGATGTCGATCTCCTGCAGTTTTATCGAAGAACGAATAGATCGACAGATCTGGGGGCTTGCTCAGGAACTCTTTAGAACATCCACAAAACAAGGTCACTTTGAGCAGATTGTGGAGAAATACAAAGGTTGGCATATAATTGTTTTCTTCTTCTCCTGGGCCTTCTTCTCCACTTTTGTCTTTAACTTCTTCTCATCCTTTACTCTGTTTTTCTTCTCTTCCACTTTCACCTTCTTCTCCTACTTTTGTCTTTAACTTCTTTTGTTTACCCTATCTTTATTTCTCTTCTACTTTTACCTTCATCCCCTCCACATTCATCTCCTTCACCATCTCTTCTATGTCCTTTAGCTTCTTTACCCTTACTCATTCTTCCTTCTTACCCGCTTTTATTCACCCTTCTTGTGTGCTCCACCTTGTCCTCTTCTTCCACCATTTTTTAATTGACAGTAAGACTGAAATCAAATATCCTTGTGTCTTCAGTAAATTCACCTCATTTTAGGTATGCAGCTACAGGTTGCCTTTTTCCTGTTCACTTTAGCATGTTGAGTTCCAATTTATGATATGCTTAGTTGATTTTATCCTACAATGAAATTCATAATCTGTTTAAATCACCACTGATCACTGGCATAATGAGAGCTAATAGACTGAAATGGTTGGGGCATATTGAAAGAATGTCAGATGACAGAGAAGTAAAAACTGAATGTATACACCAGGGAGATGAATGATCGTAGACGACGAGGCAGACCAAGAAGACTATTGAGAGATAATATCCAGACAGACCTGCAAACACTTGGTGTCACCAACTGGAGAGAGAAGGCCAACTAGAGAGATGAATGGAGGCAGGTGATATCTGCTGCAATGAACCTCAAGGGCTCAGAATGCTGAAGAAGAAGAAGTTGATTCTAGCATGCTATGTGATTTAACGTACTGATATTAATGTGTATTATCTTTATTATACAGATGTGTATTTTCACCAGTGTAAAAGTATTGAGTGAGAGAAATCAAAGGTGTTGCATTGGATTCCATTTGTGATATTAAATTGATTGCAAAGGCTAGAACAGAATAAAGAAATAGACTGGGAGCCCTATGTGACACATAATGGCACAACAGGATAATGATGATGAACTGTTGAGCCAGCATCTGTGGCTTAGGAGTGTGAACGCAGTCACAGTTCTGGCATACAGTGATTTGACTTTCGAGCTGCAGATGATTTGGTAGCAGGCTGCTGCTTGTTGATTTTAACAACACTACTAGTATAATAATGGTCTGAAAGCAGTGGCAAACTACTGATTTAACTCTTTGAATCCCAGGGTGTTTAGCATCACAGGCCCAAGGGGTAGTCAAGACAGATGTAAAATCGACACATCTTGCGTTCATTGGGCTTCTAGGTAGGAATCTATGAACGTATGATGCGTTTCTTGGAACTCAAAGAGTTGAAACAGCCTAGTAAAACTACAGACAGTCCATTATCGCTGAAGTTGGTTTGCAAAGTCATGAAAAGGATATGAAACATGCTTTCACTTTTTACATGCGTTAATGTGTAATCGTCCCCACTACACAGATACTCAGGCAAAATATACAGTCAATGGCTACCTACAAGAATGGAGACAATGGAGAGGAGACAACAAGGAGACAGCGGCGGAATTGTTTCATTGTCTGAGGCATATCAAGAGAGAGGACATTGTTAATGAGATCTGTTTGTGTTTGGGGAGAGATTTTGGTAAGTTCAAACAGCTGCTTCTCCTCCTCCATCTCCTCCTCCTCCACTGTTTTCTTCTTGCTCAGATAACACATAAACTGCAGAATTGTTTTATAATAATAATTGTTAAATTATTTGGCCTGGAATAAAACAGTCAACTTAGAGGTGACATTATTCAAGAAATGTAAAAAGTTCAACTAATTAGAAGATAAACAATATAATGCATAATTTATGACCTGGCAAATTTGACTATATTTTTTCAGGTACATTCCCCTTGTGGATTCTGAGGCCCCATTTTAAGTAAAACAAAAACAGACCCAATGCCTACTTAACTAACATGTCTCAATGAAAAGTTGACTAATTAGAGTTATTTTCTCCTAATTTTGGCGTTCTTCTGCTTGAGAGATGAGATACCAAAAGTCTGCCTTGATGGTTTAGGGCCTTATGGATTTCCATATTCAAAATTAGTGGTCCTTCATTGTTGTTAGGAATATTGTAAAGGTCTTTTGCATGTCGTGGCAATTCATTGAAAATCTCATCTCTGGTCATTAAAAGTAAAAGTAGTTAAGGACCTTTTTCCATGCCTTTAGGCATATAGGGCTAGACCTATATTTGTATAGACCAATCGGCACAAGATGGGTGATGTGGTCAGCATCACGCCGACCGCCTTTACTTTCCGGGGACTGCACCCGGTACCCACTCAAGGCTGGGTCGACCTGGGAGCCAAGGTCATTTTTTTTCAAAAGTCCGGCTCGGCCAGGGAGCGAACCCACGACCTTCCGATCCGCGGCGAGCGTCTAGCCGCTCGGCCACGGTGACTTCCTCTGGTCATTAAGATGTTACTTAATTATGATGTGGGTGCTATTCTGCTTGCGAGTTCATTAATTCTTCTGTGCATTAATTTGCTATTTTGTTGTTTTGTGTTTCGATTTCCCTGCAGTTTTCCTCAAGCCTTGCTTCTTTAACTTGCGAGAACATGTTATTGTTGAAACTATGCTACTGCAGTGAATAGAAGTACAAATGACATAATTATTAGTCCAGACAAAACATTATTTGAGATAGAAATAATCATATTTTATATATATTTTCAGATTACACCGATGGTAATTGCTATAATGAGTACTCATCCAACAAACTCTCATTGAAAGATGAATGTGTTTACATATTCCTCCCATGTTTCTATCGAAGCAAAGAAAAGCTTTCACCATCAGCGGCTGGTGGTGTGGTTGTGGAATCCGATGTTGGAGAAGCTGGCACAAAACTCCTGGCCATCGCAACGGATGACCTGGATCAAGACGACAGTCCTGATAATAATACAGTTGGAAGTCGACCTCCAGGTACTTTTTATCGGGCGCACCCGTCACCAAGCGCACCAACCTTAGAAGATGCCAACAATATATTTGCTTCCATGGATAACGTGAAATTCAGCAGGCAGTTTTCACAACCGGTGCAGGCCACTTCTTGAGGAGAAAATCATGAATAGATGAATGTTTCATGCTTCGCAATTTTAGCAAGCTTTCGGTCTTCATGATTCAGGATCCTTGGCAAAATTAATGATTGTTTCATGAGATTAATGAATTATCTGCATTCATCATATCAATTGACCATACATACCAGTTGTCATTTAGTTTGTTGTTGTGGAAAATATTGTATGTTGTTGAACAGTGGTGACCCACACGTTTGAGACCACTCAGTATGTAATTGATACTTCCACACTGTTATGCAATATATCTGAACACATCAAGGAAGATTAGTTAGTAAACAGCATCTCGTCTGGGAAACTGAAATATTTTGGCTATTTCAAGCGCCATGGCGGATTGGGAAAAATAGTAGCAGACGGCATAGTGACGGAAAGAGGGACGGTGACCGCCCAGCAGAAAGATTGTCACAGAATATAAATGAATGATGACGTGGTTGCCTTTACTAGGCCGTGAACTTACAGTGGATATATTACTCCATAACAGTATAGAAAAATCAGTTACTTACTAGGTGATTTTAAATATGTGACCACCCACAGTAGATTGATTTTTGCCCACATGACTCAGTAAATTGGAGCTGATTATTTGTTGATGATATTTTGGAGAGAGAAGTTTGCTTATTTACATTGCTTCATCAAAGTTTGGGTTGCACTGAGCAAAACATTCTACTCCATAGTTACTAGCATTATATTTGTGGGACACAGTATTTGTTTTTTAAATCTATGTGCATGTGATTTTACTGCCTGAGTGGCGGATGAGCCAGCATGATGTACATGTCTCCCGAATTCCATTATTATGCCCCAAGTTGTGGTTGAATCTTATTTTTTTACATTTTTTTTTAAAAACTATCTCCTAAATTTAATTAACTATTATGCCATTAGTCTGCCGAGCGTACATATAATTATCTCTGCGCTTTCATTATATGCCCTGAGTTGAGAGTGACCCTCATGGCAGGATTAACCATTAAGCACAGGCTTAGGGCATTACAAATGAGGGGAGCACCACAGAAATTTTCAGTAGCTTTGGTGCCGTAACATTTTTTAGGTGTTTAGGGCATCAGATAGTCCTAATCAGTCTTGGAGACCCTGAATTTGACTAACTCCTAAATATCATAAATTTTTTTAATCTTCTGAGAAGTTGATTACCAAACATTTTAAAGTTGTAGAATACCATGTGCCAAGAAGAAAAGCACTGACATCCCACAGAACTGGCTCATAAAGGTCATTATATGTACTGAAAGCTGAGGTAATTTGGCCATGTCAAATGTTATGGTGACCTGATGTGGGGGAGGGGGGGGGGCAGTGATAAAGGGTACAGCTTCTAGAAAATGTGACAGAGGCAGAGATGCACTGGCTGTGGAAACACATAGGGCTGAAGATTTGGCTAGAGATGGAGAAACTTTCAAGCATGGCATGACACGAGTGATGTCCATAAAGAACCTGTTGATTTATGTTGATGATTACCAAAATTTGATTATTTTTTGTTTTAATTAACCAAGTTGTGGGTGAGCCTGAATTGTTTACTATCTCTTAAATTTCACTGCCCTGCTCTTAGGGGAAAATGTATGCCCTAAAATGTGTGCGCCAGTGCAGTCTGGTGCAGTTTAGATGTAACATTGTACTTATTTGTGGCTCCTGTGTTCATAACACAGCGATCAGAGGAATTGTGGGTATTGTCAGGTATTTTCAGAGACAGTATTTGTTGAGTGAACTGACTGATGAATGCTTGTTTGATATTGAGAGACATTGTTATTTGAAGCTGAATGACAAGTAAAAGATACAGTTGTGTGCTGTTTTTCAAATGTTTTCTTTGACAGCATCTGTATTATTTTTATGTAGTGAACTGACTGATGGAATGAATTTTTTATGTTGACAAACAAGTAAAGTTACTTTTGCATGTTTTTTTCCTAAGAAAGATTATTTGTATTTAGTTCAACTAATTTTGTGTTGTGATGCGTAGCAAGGTAGATGCGGAAAAGGCCCTGTGAAGAATGGGAATGGGGCAGAAGTAGAAATCAATCATTTCATAATCTCAAAGGAATTATGCAACAGGAAGCAACTAGGAGATCAAGACAAGTGTTTCTGAACCTTTTTTTTTTTACATTTGCCAAAACAGGGTGAATCGTTTAACGATCCACCTGACAGCTAACCTAAACAGGGTGAATTGTTTAACTGTCCACCTGACAGCTAACCTAAACAGGGTGAATTGTTTAACTGTCCACCTGACAGCTAACCTAAACAGGGTGAATTGTTTAACTGTCCACCTGACAGCTAACCAAAACAGGGTGAATTGTTTAACTGTCCACCTGATAGCTAACCTAAACAGAGTGAATTGTTTAACGGTCCACCTGACAGCTAACCAAAACAGGGTGAATAGTTTAATGGTCCACCTGACAGCTAACCAAAACAGGGTGAATCGTTTAACGGTCCACCTGACAGCTAACCTAAACAGGGTGAATTGTTTAACTGTCCACCTGACAGCTAACCTAAACAGGGTGAATTGTTTAACTGTCCACCTGACAGCTAACCTAAACAGGGTGAATTGTTTAACTGTCCACCTGACAGCTAACCAAAACAGGGTGAATTGTTTAACTATCCACCTGACAGCTAACCTAAAAAGGGTGAATTGTTTAACTGTCCACCTGACAGCTAACCACACAGGGTGAATCGTTTAACGGTCCACCTGACAGTTAACCAAAACAGGGTGAATTGTTTAACTGTCCACCTGACAGCTAACCAAAACAGGGTGAATTGTTTAACGGACCACCTAACCAAAACAGGAGGAGTTGTTTAACCAACCACCTGACAGGTAACCGAAACACAAACCAAAAACACATAAGGACAGTTTATTTGTTACAGTTTTCAGCTAATGCAACATTTGCTGCTGCTTAGAGGTTTTTAAAAAAAATTGGTATATGTGGTTGAAGTGTTGTTTTTGATGTATACGAAGTACTACAATAATATTTATTGGATTTCTTCATTAAGGTTTTGATTATTGACATGCGAGGAGTGGCTTGCAGTATGGTTGGAATGCTAGGCTCTCAAGCAGAAGACCCAGGTTCAAATCCTCTGTAAGGCTGGGGGTTTTTTCTGTCTGGGGGCAAAATAAATCCTCGCCTGCACAGACGTGGCGATAGCACTAGCCATGGGGCTGTAAATCCTCAGGCTAAAAGACCTCTCCTGCCTACACCCAAAAGTGGTAATAAAAACAGTTATTTGCAGATAGATTATTGACATGTACGAAAAGTCCTTTTCATACAGATGGGAAGTCCTGGAGAAGGTAACCCTACAGACTAGAAAAGAACCGAAAAGAAACCTGTCCTCAAGAGCAATGTGTGCAGAGCAAGCATTGGGGAACCATCAAGGACCTGCAACTTCTTCTTCTTTGTGTTCACCAGCTGTACACTCTGGCGTAAAGTTCTGGTTGTTCGTCCACTTCTGGACTGCAGTCATGCTCCAGAACCTGAGTGTTGCATGTGCATCAGTTTTACAGATCTGATTCAATTGAATGCAGATTGCTGGTTCCTTGCCTCTCAGGCAGATGCACTCCGACTTCAAAGGAAGCTTCCCGGTTAGTCGACTCTTACGACATGCTTTTGGGGAGGCAGTGGGTCTATTCTTGTTTTCCCCACAATAGGGCCCACGAACCCACACAGGGGGGGGGGGGGGGGGGGACCTGCAACTGACATGGAAATTTTTAGAGGCAACCCACCTGATGGTCTGATCTGAGCATGTAAAACCAAACGTAAAGAAGACGAAGGAAGAGAACCACTTACCTTACCTCGCTCCATGATGAAGCAGAATATTTTGGCAGCCCACGAAGACTCTTCCCATGGTCCACTGGGCTCATAGGAATGTCCCGAATTCTGTGAAACTGGTTTCTAACTCAACTCACTTTTGCTCAGTTAGTGCATTTCTTAAAAACTTTAGATGGGAGCAATTGTTGTTGTGGTGATTCAAAACCAAAAATTCATGTAAAAATGTAACTGGGAAATGAAACTCAGTATAAGAAGGTTAAAAGAAAATTAATAATGGGAAAAACATGAAATATAAATTAGCTTTACAAATTACAATTATAATAATCAAAGGTTGTCACTGGGATAAGCCTTTATAAGCAAATAAGAATGAGCAAAAACAAAACAGCACAAAGAAGGAAATGACACTGAATTTAACTACAATACTTCTGGGGCTTTCTTGCCTCCTCATCATTTATTAATTTCACAACCTAACGCATTCTGTACCAAGCAACTCACGATGTGTTTACTAGTTTTTATTCTCAAATTGTTATGTCACATCTAGTAGCAGGGTCACCACCACAGTAAAATGCAGGGAGCTCACCCACTTATGGTGAGCCGCCTTTGCATAGCAGCTTGAGCTTGCCTGCGGGTTCAAAGGCTGTGGTTTTTTTTTTTCAAAATTGATGACCTTGGTTCCCAGGTCGACTCAGCATCAAATGTGTACCAGGTAAAGTCTCGGGAAGTAAAGGTGGCCAGCATTATGTTGACCAGGTGTAGAATAGGGTCATTTACTTCACTTTCTTTAACACTAGTGTCTTTAGAAATATTACATGATGAGGGCTCATATCTTCCAGGATCTGACTCACACCACTGTCTGAGAAACAAACTGCCTATCACAGAAATCAAACACTAGTACTTAAGACTCATAAAGTCATTAAATGCATTCACTAACCTCCTGAGCCGCTGAGCGGCCATGCCCCATTTCCCGTTACTGTTCTTTCAAAACTTGTGTGATATTTTTTGTCTCCAAAGTGTTTCTGTTTTCGGGACACGATACTGCATATGAACCATTTTTCTTCGGTGTTCAGATCAACTTTTGTCTCCTGATTTGCAGTACTCAGAGAATCGTTTGATAACATTTAAGCTCAGAAACCATTAATTTCTTTGGTATTTGTAAAATTGACAATATTTCATATATTTCTGTTTCCACAGAAAATGTATGTTGCTTTTTTTCTGTTTCTTATTTACCAT